TTAGAGTTTGGAAATTATTTAGAAGTCCTTGAGGATCGATACTTGGATACTCCATCCATTTTATATTACTCTGACAGGTGTGCGCTTGCATCTATAGAATTGTTACCACGCTTAGTGCGTGCGTTCAGCATAACCCCAGTTACTCGCATCGACCCTCGACCATTTATACTCGAGACCTCGATGCTCATCTTTATCCAATATTGGTGTATCGACCCTTGACCATTTTTACCCAAGGCCTCGATACCCAATTAGTGACGTATCAGCCTCCGACCATTTTTACCCGAGGCCCTGATACTCACTCATCCACTTCATAACGGAACCAACCCTCATCGGAGTCCTACTTTATGCTTTCTTAGACTATGACTCATGCATCACTCTGCTCATCAATACAATTCAGCATGCTTCCACCACATAAACATCATTCTAATAGCAAAACAATAAACGAATCATACTTTCACAACATATCAATTCTTAACAACAGCGCCACAGTCATAACAGAGCATAGTCAACAAATTTTAAACGATTGGAACCCAACACAATTCATCCAAATTCAGACAATAACATCCCCACAATAAATCCACTTTAACGAGCATTCCCTACAAATACACATCATTCCACCACAAATCTCAGCAGCTCAACAATACAAAATTTCCACTATTATCACCGACAGATATTCAACACTACCCAAGCATACAAACTAACACAAACGGGAGTTACACTGCACAATAGCATATCAAAATTAATAATAAACATCATGAAATAGCACAATGGCAACCAAATAATATGCATCAACGCACGCACCCGCCCCTCGTCTACATACTCAAAGTCCCAAAGCACTATTAAGCTCGTCGAAGGGTTCCTAAATCCAAAAGMAAACCAAACTTGATCAGAGTTCATGTTAGAAACACTTAGTTTCCATCGAAACTAAGCTTAGATGATCCATCACCTATTATCTAACCATAAAACCTCTTGGGTTTGGAGTGGGTCGACGCCGAGGATGTTCAGGCGCCCAAAACCAAGCTCCAATTGCCTTGTGCTAACTGGCCCGACGCTGAAAAACGATAGGAACTCCGATTCGAGTCCGAAAAGGAGTGGGTCAACTCCGATTGTCGCTAGAACAAAAATAACACCACGAAACTTGCTGGGTTTCACAAATCTGGAATGTTCAAGGTCGCGGAGGGATCGCTTCGCTGGTCACAGAAGAACAGCGTCGGAGAGAGCCGGAAATATGGTTGTTCAGCCGCTACAAGTGTTGGTTCTGCTCAAATCTCACCATCGTAGCCCTGCTGAAACGTCGAGGTCCGATACTGTTGTCGTGGGATGTCGGATCTGAAGTAAAACTCCTCGGATCTCCTCGCAACTTACCGGAGAACAGCTCGCCGTCGCTCCTGAAGGTCACACCGCCGCACCGAAAGGGAGAACGCCATGGGTATGTCGTAGTTCGTCACGAAAGGGCGTAAGGCCGCTGGAATCTCACCACGAATCGCCGTCCTTGTCCCGCACAAGGCACCGCCGTCGATCCGGAAATGTCATCGCTCGCTGAGGCCACCAATGATGATGCAGTCGCCGGAGGAGGATTTGCTGGAGAAGAAGAAGTTCCGGGGGGGGTTGGCGGCTCAACAAGGGGAAGAGGAAGAAGAAGAAGAAAGGGAATGGAGGAAAAAGTCAGGGTTTTGTTTGTTTCCTCTTATTTCTTATTTACCCAAAAAAGAAACAAGATAATAATAATATTAAATCAATTTTAAAATCAATAACCTAAATCGTCAAATTTTTAAAAAAAACCCAACTAACTAACACACCGACCTAATTACAAGAAGTCCAAAATTACATTTTATTACTTTAAGTAAATCCCACAATAACCCAAGATAAGATGATTAATTTTAACTTTAGAACACAAGAATAAAGCCCGAAAAGGGAAAATTAGATTTCCAAAACCAGGGATTAAGATCGAAACAAAAATCTCTCCCCAAAATTTGAACTCCGAAATTATAAAATTCAATGATTAAAAATATCAACTTTGGGAAAATCCAAAGGCACTAACAATATCTTAAAATTAACATGCCCGAGGACGCGGGGCGTTACAAAGGATTTCTCCAACAGGGCTCAACCTCTGCTAGAAAACGTTCATCTTCAGGTGCGAAAAGGAAGGCCCCTCCGTCTTTTACTGGTCAGCCGTCAGAGCACCCAATGACAGACTCAACAGTATGGTATGCTACCAATATGCCCCTCATGTAAGAGGAGACATGTCAGGCAGTGTTGGACTGGAATTAAAGTTTGTTTCAGATGCGGGAAAGAAGAGCATTTTGCAATGGAGTGTCTTATGACGAGTTCGAACACACAGAGGCTAGGTCAGGACGCCCCCTCAACAGTTTTGACGTAGGGGGGCAACTAGAGAGCTCGTGTTTTTTCACTTAAATGCAAGGAAGCGGCGAATGCTGAAACCGTTGTAATAGGTACTTCTATCTTATTCTGAGTTTTTGGTTATACGTTCGGGGTCTATGTCTTTACTCTTGTATTGTCTCTCAAGTATTGTCTTAGTTCATAATGTGCCTGCTTTTATGTATTGTTTGATTCAAGGTCAAGTCACACTTTTATTTCCACTACGTTTGTTCGTCAAGAAAACCTTGAGTTAGAACTGTTAGGTCTTTTGTGAAAGGATGTGAATCCCAGAGCGGCAACGGACCGTTGTTCATGATATTTGGGAAACAAAATCAAAATGTGCAAGATGAAAATACAGGGGAAAAATTATACCTTTGAAGAAATTTTCTTCAACGAATTTCCCTTGAACACCACCATTGAATCTTCCTTGCTATCCTCTTGGGTTTCGAGATCACGCTTGTGGGAGCATTTCCTTGGAACGAGAGGGAGAGTTTGAGAGAGATCGATTGAGAGAGAATGGGAGTTATGGCTTTTTTTCTATTTTGTCCACCTGTATTTTGCAGAACTGCAAAAGGAAGAAGAACAAAAAACAGTGACTCCACGTCACTTAATTTCAAATTGCAGGGGAGTTAATTATTAATTTATATATTAATATTATTAATTAATAATTAATTATATTTATTAATTAATATGATTAATTAATAAATATATATATATATAATTAATAAATATATATATAAATCAAATAAATAATTAACACTGAATTACTTATTATAAAATTAGAATCATATTCTAAAACATTTCTCTCGCATAACCTATAGCTGTAATGTACATCTTATGCACATTATTTTTAACCTATAGTTTTAATATGAATCATATTCATATTAATTTTATTTGAATCTCATTCAAATAATTTCTCTCATAATATATAGTTTTAATTTATAATTAACTATATATTATAATGTATCAATATACATATAATCCCTTAAGTAATTTAAACAATTCAAATTCTTCCAAAAACTTTATCCTCGTTTTACCCGTTATGAGCTAGCAAGGGGACCTAATGGACCTACAGATCAGAAGCTCCAACGATGCAAGATTAATCGGTCAAACTCATTGACCGAGTTAATCAAGATTCCTTAACTATGGGTCATTCCACTAAAGACCCGCAGTTGCACTCTTCTCACTGCAGAATGCTTTCGTGTCTATAGATATACGACTATTAATGACGAGTCAATGCTTCACGAGTGCTCGTAACTCAATTTGGGTCAAATTACCGTTTTACCCCTCAGTAACATCTTACTTCTTAAGTACCACTGCTCCTCTAATGAACAACCCAGTTATGGTCCTACCAGTAACCGGAAGTCCCTCTAGGGCCAATGAGAGGGTGAGGCCCCTTGTTCAAGTCCCGGAGTCAACATTTAAGGGAACACTCATCTACTCCCCTAAAGTCGAAGAGGAGTGAATTTCATCTTGTGAAGTTATGTTCTCAGCTCCCCACTCGGTCTCATCCCCAAAATTGTAGGAATATTGAGTCAGCAACTCGGGTCACTCTCACCCATACAGATCAAAGGACGAGCCCTCACGGGCAGGAGTCCATAACTCACTCAGGATTGAGAATGAGTTGCCTGATCATCCTAAGAAACAGCAATCTATTAGTTAACGGTGTTACATCTAAAGATTGGCTATTTCGTGGTCCGGTCTTATACAAACTCATTGTATAGGATACCCCCACTCGTATGTCTCCACATGAACGACCTGGATCGAGTCGTCTGTAACCTTTATAGAGTGGGCCGTATCCATAGTGTTGCCAGGATAGGGTACCCAGCCTTATCCATATACTATAGACCCTTTAGGTTATTCATGGGACATTATCCACTTGTATATCAAGGTATATCAAATATATACCTCGTATATCAGGGGTATATCAAATATATACCCAGTACATATACTGTCCCGGTTACACTTAAATAACCTCGGATGTTTAGTTTATTGGATTTTGGACAATGCAATGCTATGAATTCTACAACAAATTTATTGAATAAAACTTTATTGAATATACATTTGTTTTTACACAAAATACAAACTACGAGTTTAGGGCAACACACCCAACATTTTGTTGTCAGTATCTACACCATCAGGGTCAGTCATGGTTGCTAGTCAAATGGTGAGAGCAGACAAGCTATCCTTAGACGATCAGGCTTTGGCGGTAAGATTGATTCAACTGGACATGCAGAATTTGGATGTTATAGTGTGCATGGATTGGCTAGCTACCCATCAAGCCAACATTAATTGTTCGAAAAGGGAAGTCTTCTTCCAACTGCCTTCTGGTCAGAGTTTCATGTTTAAAGGAATCATGGGTGGTGTTCCGAGGGTAGTTTCAGCTCTAAAGGCCAGACACCTCTTACAGTGTGGTGTTTGGGGTTACTTGGCAAGTGTCGTCGAGACTAGTAAGATTGCACCCAACATTGACTCCATCCACGTGGTTAATGAGTTCCCGGACGTGTTCCTTGAAGACCTTCCAAGGCTATCCCCTGTTCGTGAATTGGACTTTTGCATCGACTTATTACCTGGGATGACCCCCATTTCGAAGGCACCTTACTGTATGGCTCCAGCGGAACTTAAGGAGCTCAAGGCCCAACTAGAAGAGTTATTAGACAAGGGCTTCGTTCGCCCCAGTGTGCATCCTTCGGGTGCTCCAGTGCTTTTTGTTAACAAGAAGGATGGATCGATGCGGCTTTGTGTATATATTAATTATATTAATATTAATATTAACACTCCCCTGCTTAATTGCATGAGAGTGAGAGGTTTGTTATGACGTGGGGTGACTCCCCATGTTATTTTTATTTTTATTTTTTTATTTTTTTTTGTAGAATGGTTCTGCATAAAACAGAACAGAAGAAGAAAAAACATCTCCTATAATTTTCTCTACTAAAGATCTATCTCTAACAAAATTTCCAAGTTCGTAGCTCCCACAAGCAGATTCTTGTACCTAGAGAATAGCCCGGAAGATCGGTGGTGGTGTGTTCATTTTTGATTTCTTGAAGAAAGGTTCTTCAAAAGTAAGTTTCATTTTCTTCTATATTTTCCTTTACATTGAAAGTTTCATTTTCTTCTATATTTTCCTTTACATTGTGTTGTTTTTTCTCTTAAAAATTCAAGAACTTGATCTCCGTTTCTGCTGCGGGATTAACGTCCCATCACTGTCTTCTCTCTACAAGGCCTATGAGGCTGAGCTTGATGAAGAGGAAGATCAGGTCCGAGGTGAAGATCCAGTTGTTGGGGATGACTAGGAGGCCAACAAGTGAGGTGGTTCTCAACTCGATTTTCCAGTGCTTATGCATCTTTTCCTTGTATTTTTTGGTATTTATAAAAGGTCGGAGCTTGTAGTGCTTCAGCTCGCTTTTGTACTAGGTGGAGGTCTATATACCTCAGCCACTTTTCCAAAATTAAGAAGAAAAGCCTTTTGTTTTCATTTTCTCCACTACCTTTTGGAATGCCTGACTAACCCGACCCCTGATCTGTTTATACGTGTTAAGTTGGTCTTTTTAATGCTGCTAATGAGGGGGGAAATGATCCGAGCCGAGCAGTGAATCATTTTTTCATGCTTGGCTCTGATATCATTCCTCAACCCTATTTAAGTGTAGCTCAAAAATTTGAGGTATACTTGAATATCCATCTGTATTTATTAACAATGCGTACAACATAGCTACACTTAGATTGTTTTACATATATTTATAATAAATATGTAAATGGTCAGCATTCCAAGGATGGTGTAGCTTATTGTCGTTCAGATCAACAATGATGTACGTTCCGGGCTGAACTAATTCACAGACACTGTATAGGCCTTCCCAATTCGGCTCCAGCGTGCCGACATGGTTTAAGACTTTTTTGAGGATGAAGTCTTCTGCCTTGAACACTCGGTGCTTTACCCTAGCATTGTAATACTAAGCCATGCAGTTCTGATACTCGGCTCGATGGGACTGTGACTGAGCTCGCTTTTCTTCAAGGAGGTCAAGGTTAAGCAGAAGAGCTTCATCATTTGCTCGCTGGTCAAAATTTTCAACACTCAATGTTGGCAAGCCGATCTTCACAAGGATGACAGCCTCCAAGCCGAACATTAAATTGAAGGGGTTTTCGCTTGTTGGTCCTGTTGGATCGGTATGGCAACACTAGAGGGGGTGAATAGTGTTGAAGATCAATTTACTAAACTTTTTCAATTTTAAGCGTAAATCAAATAACCAAGTAAACTTTTTAAACAAAAACAAT